AACTGAAATTATCTCTGGTAGCCTGAAGTATTCGGTCCTCAGCTAGAATGGCTGATTTTTGCCATTGACGGTAGTGTCTGGAGTATCGTCATTCACAAGAGGGTGGAGACATGTGAGGAGAGTAGTCTGTATAGAGCCAGGATTAGATGAGAAAGAGCAACGATCGAGAGGAGAGGTTTAGATCCAACAGATGAAACAGTTGTAGTATGTCACTTATGTGGATAACTTTCAGCCGCAATTTCGCTAGGGACCGATTATTCAGAAGGGTTTTTCTTTTGAAATCAACGTTCAGTAATACAATGAGCCATACTACAAACGGCGACCGCTTGGTCCGACATAGTGAAGTCTGCTACTAATAAGAATGCCGTGAATTCACCAAGTTTCGCACTCTCGAGGAATTTTCAGACAAACTTAACTCTGGGTGCATAATATCTATGAGCTTTTTTTGGTTAAATAATAATATGTGTTTGGGTGTGTGTGTGTGTGTTTGTGTTTGTGTGTGTGTATGTGTGTGTGTGTGTGTGTGTGTGTGTGTGTGTGTGTGTGTGTGTATGTGTGCGCCTGCGTGTGTGTGTGTACCTGTGTAATATGTTTCAGTCTGTGTGTGGGTGTGTGCGCGCGCGCGTGTCTGTCTGCCTGTGCGTGTCTGTGTTTGTGAAAGTGCTGAGTGTTGAGCACAAATAAGATTGAGCGCGCGGCTCGTTTAAAATTTTTATCAGCTGTTGTCCCCGATTCACGGGGTCAGGCCAGGTCATTCCAGGGTAGTCTGATAGTCTGACAGATGACGGAGGAAAAACGGCGCGAAACCGATCTGACATTCAGTGTTACCTGTTACTAAGAAACGTTGTAGTGTAAATGACCCCATACACCTGTATTTCTTAGACGCTGGTGTATAATTTTAATTTTTAATTGTTTTCTTTCTTTCTTTTTTTTTAAAAATCCCTTGCCCATTTATATTATGAGATTGACGCCATCTGATTAGTAGAAAAAGGTTCGAATGATAGTGTTCGACAGTGTATTACGTGCATACTTAGTATAACAAGTAACTGTTACAGATACAGATTCCAGGATTATAGATGTAAGTCATTGTTCTGAGAGCAGGTGATGATTTTAAAAATAATGGTATTGTTGAGTGATGATTTGGGATTGCGTTTAAGTCTATTAATAGTTACTCCAAGGTTTAAGTAATGTTAGCGTTAGTCCTATCTTCCTCTGCTCCAATTAATGAGTCACGAGGGACATGGGCACCCTCTATCCCGTTCCCTACTGGAACCATCTTTACTGTCACTGTGAAGTTTCGAAAAGGTGGGCACAGTATACGTGGTTATACTTGTACGAGACATCTAGACTTAATTGTATTAATACTTTAGCGATGAAGCGGACAGATAATATTATGTCTGATCACCAACAGACCAAAACAAACGATTTGATCGTTTATTTCGAGCCGATATATATATATATAATATACACACACACACACAAATCAGCAACATGAATTTGCCTAATCGTCTCATAGTACTGACGTTGTTGTATGACGTAAAGCTTCAGATAAAGAAATCATTATTATATGACCTGAACTTGTTGCGAGCACCGTAAAAAGTTTACCTACACAACAACAACAACAACAACAACAACAGCAGCAACTAGAACTACTCACAAGACAACGTGTTCCAGACAAAGAGGCCAGAGGGGCCGGTGATTGTCTCGATGGGCCGACCAAAGACGTTGAACACGGTGAAGCCGATGGTGACGAGGCCACTGACTAAGGCAAGAACCAGCATGACAAGGCTGGTCACATACAGGGGGAAGCTGAACAGGCCAAACCACTCCTCGGATTTGTGGGCTGTGGAATTGAGACAATAATTTTTTAAAGTTTTAGTAAGTGTTTTACGGCACTTGCAACACTTACTTTTACTTTTACCTTTATCCGCCGCTTATATCCTTTTGGGTGTCGCGGGAGTTGCCACACAATAAGGTCATATACATATATTATATTACATACGTGCCGAAGATTAGAGATGTTACAAGAGAGTAACAAACACGCACAAAAAGGGAGGGGAGATAGAGACGATATATTTTTTATAGGAAAGAAGGAGCAAACAACACCAGAGCACCCGAGAAAATTTGACTTTGAGTTTTATTATTAAGATTTTAAAAAACTGAAGCGCTTCAACACTCTCGTGACTAGATCTAGTTTTAGTTAGAATTTTACGACACTTGCACCACGATTAGGTCATATAATAATATGATGAGTGTCGAACAGGCTGATTGTTGCATATTATTATTATATTGTTTTTATTTCATATCTTAAAGTTTTAGTGAGACTTTTACAGCACTTGCAACAAATAGGTCATATAAGTGCTAAAGATTTGAGGTTTACTAGAGAGTATCATACAAAGAAAAGAGGAGAGATAAGGACGATTGATGCTTGACAGGAGAAAAGGAGCAAACCACACCAGAGCACCCGCAAACCGCCTTCGGTTTGTTTGAGTAAAGAGAAGCATATCGACATCATAACGGCCATTTTGTGCTCATGAAAAACAAGACAGACAGAAACGATAGATTGAAAGAAGAGAAGTAAAAACTTCAAGAGCCGTCGTCCCACAACTACCAGGTGAGCTAGAGTTTGAGGAAAGAGTAGTATTGTTTGTTTTATTAAGTTTTACTGCACTTGCAACACAATAAGGTCATATAAGTGCCGAAGATTAGAGGTGTTACAAGAGAGAAACAAACACAAAAAAGGAGGAGCAGAGATCAGATAAGGACGATAGATGTTTGATATGAAAGAAGGAGTAAACCATACCAGAGCACCCTCCAAACACCCACAAAGAGTAGCATTATATCGGCACAATAGCAATCATTTTGTAAAAATACGCAGTTTTCACTGTAGCTGGTTTTGTCAACACAATTTAGATCATTTAGGAGGCGGGCTTCCGACGCTGCCTGTCAGGGCCAACCCGGGCTGAAAGGAATACAACATTCCCTTTGCTCTTCGCCGGCTACATAACAGCTTTATATTATTTTATTTCATTTTATTGGGGGCGGGTTGTGTTGCATCCATTCTCATCCGTAGGTAACTTTTCCTCAAGACGGAGAACCATAATATATCACCCTGTAAAGAGTCTGTCGGGGGAAGATACGATATAATACTACAAAGAAGTCCAACGTCTCGTTGTAGTTAAGCGATTAGGCGCTTCCCTCGAACGCAGTAGACCCCAGATCGATTCGACAAAAATTTGTATTGAAAACACGTGTATTTTGATCTTTCTGTTGGGGTGGTATAGTGTATATTCCTCTCAACCCGGTTTGGCATGGTAGGAAATTCGCCCCCTAAGAGATCTAAATTGTGTCGATATGAGCGTAAAAATATGTTTTAATAAGAAACTGCTACAAGGAAGAGGAAGACAAGCACCATAAATTGTCCTCGATGACAGACCAGAACGCCAGAACTGCCGACTTCAGATAAGGAAGTACGCAATGCAGAACAAAAACAAACAAACGAACAAAAAAAGGAACACCACGAAAAAAAAACAATTAAAAAAAAACAACAAACCCACGTAGATTACTGCTAGGGTTTTATTGAACTCAGGAAGCAGTTTGGTCTTCTTAGAGTTACAAAATTATTACGTTAGCCTTGTCAGTTGTAGAAAAAAATTGCCTTAATGTAAACAAAACAAAACAAAACTCGTTTTGTATGTGTATTGTGTGTGTGTGTGTGTGTGTGTGTGTGTGTGTGTGTGTGTGTGTGTGTGTTTGTGTGAACGTGTGGTTTGGTTTTTTATTGTCGAGAAATTAGTAGTCTATTGATGTTCTAATTTTGGCTCTGAGAATTAATTATGACGACCTGCGTATTTCCTCACAGGGCACGGAATAATTTAACTATAATACATATACAAGTTTATGGCATTACTACTGAAACGTTTGCATCAGCGCCAATGCCATCTCCTATCTATAGGTCTAAATGGACAGTCTAACAAGTAAAAAGGGATCAAGTAGGGCCTGCCTTGAGTCAGCAATACATGTACTTCTGAAAATGCAGGCAACCCAGCCACCTGAAGCGTTCTGTTAACACTATCCGTACGCCGTGTTTTACTATCGTATCCACACGACGTAGGGAACTCTGTGCCACCACTTTCCAAAGAGGAAATTTACTCGTTAATCCGATGCGTACGCTTTGAATAAGCAGTTAGTCAAAATGATTTTTTGAGAAATACTGAAAGTTTCAAAGAGATATTCGTACTAGAAGTATTCTAAAATGTGAAGAATACAACCCCGGGGGTACAAAATGACCCCAGGGCGTACGGATAGGTTGAGTATTAGCAGCTAGGGCTGGGCAATGAGTCGATTTAGAACAATCCGGAGGTGCTAGTGCACCTCTTCGGGAAGTACTATGTTAAGAACCGTTTCGGCAAATGGGATAGAACTGCTACGACAAACGGGTTAGCATCACTTCAACAAATCGGTGCACCCACTTCTCCAAACAAACGAGTCAGGAAAGAGAATTAAGAGTCTGAATTCGGATAATGTTTCATTGAGAATTATCCGGTTATCCGGAAAGGTATCCGGATTTTGTCCACCTCTATTAGCAGCACACCCCGTCCGAAGAACGCCGGGAACACAAACACTTATTTATTAATTTGTTCGTTCGCTGGTCTGAGTAAAGATGAGCACATCAGCACATTTTCGGTCGTTTTTTTGTATGGAAAAAGGAAGATGGATAGATAAAAACAACAGAAAAAGTAGGACCCACACAAGTACCGTCATCCACTAACGGGCGATCCAGAACAAAGTACGGGGGTAACAATTATTCGTACTACGAAATTAATTGTCATAATTGGGATTATAGAATGATTCTTTAACTCTCTGAGGACACGCTTTCAGGTCATTCGACAGATCTTGAAGACTCGCTGCTCCTAAATTTAACAAAAAGAAGTGTAACTTCGTTATAATTCATCCAGATTTTTAAAATTATGTTTTCTGCATCTGAAACTTTAAAAGACAGGCAACAATATATGCATATTTAGAGTATATATAATGTAAATTCGTGTTTCGGATGTCTGCGCGCGCGCGCGCGCGCGCGCGTGTGTGTGTGTGTGTGTGTGTGTGTGTGTGTGTATGTTGGTTCGCAATGTGTCAGAATATTGCCTTTGGTCTGCTGTTGGTCGGATATATTAATATCACTTATGTG